AATTTTTGAGCAATGTAATTTTAGTGATATTCCAGGTTGGAAAATTCATGTACAGACAATAAGTAAGTAGATTCCAGAGTAGGTGATAGCAGTGTTGAAATATTGAACTGTGAATAAAGGTATAAACTTTACAACTAGGAACATCACTAAAATTAATAATAAAGAATGTTGAAATTGGAGACAGTCATTCTGTCAACCGAAAGGCTTTAATTAAGGTTATCGACATATTAATATTGATTGTAATAACGAACAAATGTTAATATAATAATTTAATTGTCTTTTGGTTTTTGAAAACTTTACCCATTTTGAAAGTTCGATAGTTCGCTTCCTGTTGAGATTACAGAAAAATATTATATTGGAACGCTGTAGCATAATCTTAAAATGGAGATTACTTTCCAAAACTATGGCTCCGAAAACATATAAAAGGACCCTCACATCGAATAAATATGAAAAGTTCGAATAAGTTGAAACGCTTTGGCGTAATCTTAAAATCGACATCATTTTCAAAAACTATGGCTCCGAAAAAATGTAAATAGAACCTTATATCAAATAAATTCAAACGTAGTGTAAACGTAGAGGCCTAATTTAAAAATGGAGATTATTTTAAAAAACTACGATTACAAAAACATATAGACCCTTACATCAAAGAAATCAGATACACTCAATTAAGTGTAAACGTAGGGGCGTAATCTAAAAATGGAGATTATTTTTTAAAAAATCATATTTTCAAAAATATATTATAAAACTGTTCGCGAAAATTTTAAATAAATACACTCATATAACGTATTCGTAACGATATTATTTAAAAAGAAATACAAAATTTGATATCAGTATTCAGATGAACAATTTAAAGTCTATATTAATTAACAACATTTATGTAATTATAACTATCAGTGTAATATATATATATATTGAATTTAGCTATAATTTGTATTATGTTATTAGTAAAATACTCAAAGTAGGGTAGGTTAATATTTTAATAAAATGCTCAGAATCGGACAGATTAATATTTGAGTAAAATACCCGGGACTTGGTACTCAGATTGGCATTTTCCCATCTCTGTCGTAGATTCTGTATCCTCACTCATTTCTCTCCACTTTGGCGACGGCTGTATAGTATACTATGGTGTAGTCGTAAAGTGTATTAGTCCTATTAATCAAATAAATTAATAAAGAGAAAATACCACTAAAACAAAATAATAATTTGTTTGATTAAAAAAGTCCGCTACCTTCTCCCTTCTGCATGGATCCTATTGAATATTATAAGTTTATTAAATTCCTAAATAGATTGAAAATGTCTGATGATATTTTTTTTTAAACTTATTTATTGTAAAATATTACAATATGTCTCAAAGGACATTCTGATGATATTATACACTTCTTGTAGGTGACTGAACTAAGTTGAATAAAAACCACCTGAAATGTCATGACAACATATTGAAAAACTTTTTTGACTAGTAAATAGTCATTTGTTTTCTACTTGGATCGTAAGATAATTTGATCAAAAAATAGAGAAAAAAGGTGTCCTTCAAAAATATTGAGCCGTTTGGCGTGACCTATTCCTAAATTTTCAAAATAACGAGGTCATATAAGCTAAATGGCACAATATTTTTGTAGGCCACCTTTTTTATCGATTTTGTGATAAAAGTATCTTACGATCAAAGTAGAAAGCAAATGGTATTTACTAGTTTTTAGTGCCTTATTAAATAGACAAAGTTTGCCCCCCTCCAAATTGAAAACGCCCCAATTCCAAGAGTTTTCGTAAATAAAATAGTTGTAGGTTACGATGAGATGAAACTATTAACGAAGTTTCAGGCGGATCTTAATAATTCTATAAAAAGGGGTTTGTAACACGGACTGTGAATTAACAAGAGGTAATTTGAGGAATGAAATTAGATATTTTCAACAATTTTCTCCTTTTCAACAAAGCTTTTCAATTAAATAAATTCTATTTACATTCGTTTTATTTTTAGTCATAATTTATGAGATAAAAAATTATATAATTATAGACTTGTGATTCATAAAATAAACCGACTTCTTTCTTAGGAAGTGTAATGAAAATTCATAAATAAAAAATTAGGTCATGGTAATAGGCCCCTTCATTGACAATATACAGTGAAATATTAGATTAATATGTTATGATGATCCAAATGAATAACATTAATAGAAATGTAACCTAAATAAGTAACACTGACCTTAAACTGCCAACGGATCAATCAACTCTGGATCTGAAAGTAATATTAAATATTATATAAATAATTATATTATTTACTAAGGACACATAGTTGCCTTATAATAGTAAAAGTCTACAACTTTTCTACTAATATTTGTCAGGCTTATAATTATAAAATAATGAGCAATAACGATACTATTTATATTAAGGTACCATCATTTATCTATCTATACATATTTGTACAAATATGAAAAAAAAAAAATTGTACATACATTCACCACATTACTTTCAGGGGGTTTTTATTTTATTTTTTTTAATTCAATAAACCTTAAGAATATTACGTTACTTTAGTTTTAAGTTATATACCTTATATAATTAATATAAATTATAAAAATTTTATACACATTATTTAATGTATGTAAATTTAAATATATACACATATATATTTTTTCCTGTTGTCCCTTTGCCGCCTTAACCAATCTAATTTGGGCTGTTAAATTTTGAATTATATTGATACTATGGATAATTTGAAAGAAAAAAAAAAAGACTGCTAATTTTTTTTAGACATTTCATATTATTAATATTCTTTTTTTTTTTTTTTTTTATCTATCTTTTATTCTCCTTGATATCACATTTGCTGAATCCTGAGGAAGATGGCAAATTTATTGTGAGCCAAGAATATGTATAAATAATAAATAACAAATAAAGTAATTTTTTTTATTTGTACTCTAGAGAGTCATTGGCGGTAATTCTTAATTTTTATATTCTGTTATAATAATTTGTTTCTATTAAATATTTTAAGAGAATGATGACTTCTTCCTCCCTGTCTCCCAATGTCGTTTCTTTCAAAAGTTCAATGTCGTGGAGAACTTTAATTTCTGTCTCTTTTTTTCCTATTGGTGACTGTATACTTCTGTAAAATACCTCGATAAAATTATAGGATAAGCTTCAAATCGATAGCATGGAGGAGTTTTAAAAAAATTATTGATTCATAATGTCAGCATGTACCTGTAGTATGCTGGATTGTGGGCCTTCTTTAGTATACTGAGAAGGTCCATACATCAATTAAGTCTTATGATTAATGGTAATTATTGTACATATAAATATATATATATATATATATATATATATATATATATATATATATATATATATATATATATATATATATATATATATATTAACAATTCAGTCAACTTTTATTATGGTTGCTTTATCTTGGTTCTTTACTATCATTTCATTGATAATATTACTTATATAATGTTATTGTAAGTTAGTGATATATGTGTAGATAATGTTACTTATTAATTTAATTATATAAAGTATATTTTTATAGTAATATAAGTATTATTATTACACAGTTATTGTTTTCTGATGAGATGAGTAAATGGACAGTTATGATATACTAGACTCGTGTGGGTGAAGCAAAGTTATTTAAATTTATAATTTCAACAAGATTGTAAATATTTAAGAAATACAAATTTTATTCTATTACATTAACGTTCTTGCTTAAAAATAAAGCGGCAGGCATCCTAAAGGAGGATGTATGTATATATCTTTATTTTTCTTTTGGTGAATTAATGAATTAATTATTATCATTATTTTGTGTGTTCTTTTTATTAAAATTTATTGTAGAGTTGATTTTATTTTGTAATGTATTTTAACTTTTTTTTTAATGTACACATTTATTGAATTCTGGTCATATTTTTAGCCAGCCAAATATTTTATTTATTTGTATATATGTTTATATTTTTAAGGAATTTGTTTCCAGAATATAACTCATTTTCTATTCTATTTTATCATAAATCATACCATCGATATCGAAAGAAAGTAGTTGTGGACGCGGAATGAGCTAGTTAGCCCTCGCAGTCTTTAACTTGCTATGCCAATATTTGCAATTGTAAGGGCTGGACCAATAAGCTACCAGTAGCGGAGAGCCCTCTGGTTGTGAATCTCGGCACGAACCAATGACAAAAGGACAAAATGAAGGCCACTGATTCCATTTAGGTCTCTCCGATATATGAGGATTTTTACAAGGGTTTTTTATTTTTTACTTTTTTACTCTCTTGGCACTTACACATTAGATATCTTTGGCCGAATTTGCGGCTATGTGGTTCTGAGGTATGAATCCATAACAGATTCCTTTGGGGAACAATTTGGCAACGTCCTTCTCGGCGATTCCCTCGGATTCGAGGAAAATTACAAATCGGTCTAGAGCCATGGAATATGGCTGCTCAAAATCAACATCCAGGCAAGGGTTTATATTTCTTTCCAAAACTAACTTTTCACGGACAAAACCTCTGGAGAGTTCCTTCAATGCTGGCAAAGCTATTCTCGTTTAAGGTACACAAGGTAGGATCAACACCTTTAAAATACTCACAAGATTAGCTTAAAATAAGAGCTATTTAGTTTAAACTTCCAAACTGCCCGATTTCGTAAAAAATAAAATTTGAATTTAAGTTGCTTTAGGTCATAAAGCGAAAATGCGTTTAGAAGGCGCATAACGCAAGCGAACAAACAAAACAATCATTTTTCTTTACTTATTACAAACACATTCTTGACATTAATAAAAAATATATACCTAGTCCTGTCATAAATATTGTTACAAGGAAATATAAACAAATTTCAACAGAAAAAAATATTTTTTCAAAAACTTTATTAGAAAATAAAATGTATACCTATAGAGAAAAAAAAAACAATTACTCAAAATGTTCCCCTTTTGACACATTTAGTCTCTGTGGCCAGACATCAATACCAGCACGCAGCACTTTTTAGGAAAGCGCTCAACTTCAACTGCTCAGACCAGAGATTGTTTGAAGCATTCCAAGTTAGGGCGTGCCATCCTCCCCGATTCGGACCAAAGCCAATAATCTAGTGTGTTGAGATGAGGGCTTCCTGAGGGCCAATCCGAGGCAGAGATGAACTCTGGAATGTTCTTTTGCAGCCACTGCTGAGTTGACCTGGTCTTGTGAGCTGGAGCAGAACTCTGCTGGAAAATCCAGTAACTTCCAGCAAACAGAGTATCATTTAGAGGCTGGACAACAGGTTCGAAAATATCGTCCTGATGATGTCTGTTTTAACTCCTTTTTCATAAAAATAGAGCTTTGTGGTGCCATCAAAGCAAACTCCAAACCATCACTGAGGAAGGTTGATGATCTCTTTCCACTCTTCCTGGACTTCTTTAGAGAGCTGTGTGTGTACACATGATTATTTTGCCGATTAAATTTTTCTTCAAAAATGTTCTCATTGCTAAACGAAATCTTTCGATGAAGACCATTGGTGTAACGGCCAACGAGCACTTTGCATCATTCCACTATATTTTTTTTTAGAGAAGTGGATAGCCTTTGACCTGTCATTCTTCGAAATACATCCATCCTAAGATCACTTTTTACTATGGGAAACATTGATCTGACAGAGATTCCCATTTCCCGAGACATGATTTGTTGTTTTCGAATAGGATTTCTTCTGATTCGAGCAGCCACTGCTCTCACTGTATTTGCCGTTCTTACAGTGAGGGGACGGCCCGGTCGATGTCTGTCACATATAGATAGGATCTCATTATATCTACTTATAGTGCGGAATAGGAACGTACGGCTGATACCCTAAGGTTTCAAAGTGTTGAAAATCTCTGACCTACATTTTCCAACTTTGTGTAAGGCGATCACAGCTTTTCGGTTTTCTTTATCACCCCACTCCATGTTAACTGAGCGAAAGAAAAATACAAAATAATTGGTACCAATTAAACATCCTGACAAGTAAAGAAAATAACCTGACAGAGGGAAGGATTATCTAAATAATACCCAAGAATGTAAAGTTCAGCTTTTGTAACAGTATTTATGGCAGAACTAGGTATGCAATAGCTATATATAACGTAACTCTTAAAGACACAACGAAAGGTATATAGAAGAGAACATCTCATATGATTATTCCCACATTCTTCACCTCTTCGGGCTTATTTTATTTATTTGTTTTTCTTTTAAAGTTTGACGTTGTAGATAATTCAATAAATAATCAAGAGAGTATCTGTAAAGTTCCAAGAGATTTTTATTGTTCAAATAATTCGGCGAACTAAATATATAAAAATGGTTACAAGGTTCAACAAGCCTCACTCATTCGTAAAGCTATTACCACCTTTCATATATATACTAATTATCTTTTAGATTATGATAGAAAATATTGCGTGCTAGAATTAGTTGAAAACTACTTATAAAAAAGTTGACAGAATAATAGTTAAATTTAAAACACATAATTCGAAACAGTATCCTCTAGTCAGATAAGCATCTCATTTAAAGTATTTTCAAGTCCTCTTAGTTAAAATATTTTTTAATAAATATATTTTAATATATTTATATTAAATATATTTCTAATATATTTATATTAAATATATTTTTAATAAAAATATATTTAAAACATCGCCTAAACAAAATCTATCGTACCATTAAGCCATTATTTTTTTATTTAGTACCTCAACTTTTTTACAAAAGGTAATATTAAAGATATATATATATATATATATATATATATATATATATATATATATATATATATATATATATATATATATATTCAATTATTTTTAGTTCCGTGGATAATCTTTTTTTTAAATCTATTTAACAGTTGATAATCTCGAAGTAGACGGAGAGACATCTGATTTACTTGCAACAATAGTAAGCCTAAAAATAATAACAAGGATAAATTTTTAAATGAGGTCTACTGATAAATCAGGTATCATCTCCGAAGCACAGAATGTTAGTATTTAGGAGGATAAAATGAAATATTTTATTGAAAATATTTCGAGGAAGAAAGATTATTGGAATCCTTAACTCGATCGTATGAAATAAGAATTTAAACAATATAAATAAGAAATAAACTGGTCATTTTTTCTAGAAAACATCTTATATTTTGCCTAAACCTGGACAATTAAACTAAAACTATTATTTTCTGTAGGGATCTAAATTCTAAGAAGCTGCGGATAAACAAATATAGAGCAAGAAAAAAAAACTATATTAGGCTAGCTAATAATTCCTTTTATTTATTTTTTTTTTTTTTTTATGTCACTACCATAGACTTCTTATATCACGAATAATTACCGAAGATGGTTCCTTTATCCTATTTGTAATTTGTCAACCACCATTTCTGTAAACTTATTATAAAAAATAGATTAATATTGTGTTTGCTATTATACTGTGAATGTGGAAGGAAATGTGAGAATGATGCCTTAATCGAAGGAAAATACCTGGTCACAAGTCGCCCACAAGAAATAGAAATGGGCAATGTTTAGATCATTCAACACTATATTGCGCACAATTAATGAAATTGAGTGTACACAATAAGGGATACATCAATTTAAAAAAAAAAAAAATTGCAAGGCAATTTAAAAGCGTGTTGTTTTCCATCAAGAAAACTGTATACCCAACCGATTATCATTCGTAATAAATTATTAAGCTTTAAATGGAATCATTTGCCCCACCCTTCCTATTCACCAGACGCAGCTCCAAGCGACAGCCATATTCTGAGTTCTGCAGATTTCCATAAATTAAAAGGTCATACTAATATATTGTTACGGTTTTTAATCTGGAAAAATTGTTTCCGCAACTTGCGGGATGCTCAGCGGAGACGGTAGGGTTCACAAAAAGACAACATAAATAAATAAAATAATAATGAATTAAATATTACTAACTATCTAACAGGCGCCACGCTATTTAATTTGTTGAATTTGGAAAATAGAGAAAACCATAAAAATAACATTCAAATAAATTTAATTAAACAAAAAGATTTGGATGCGGAGTGAGCTACGAACTCGGCACCTATGGGTTTAAAAATGTATGTTAATTAACCTCAAAAACCGATCGAACCTTCTTACTCGGTTAATATTCATTTTCCCTAATCCCTCGAATAGGTTTTTAAAATTTCTTATTAAACCTTAGATAGGAAAAGAAAAATCTGGTGTACACCATAAAACTAAATTATTTCACACACAAAAATCCTTAGCGTGCCTCTTACACTCACGAGGTTCCGCCATCTCTCTCTAAACTGTCTTTTGTTTTTCTCTCTCATATGTCGGCTGTTATACTGAATTAAAATTAATATTTACAACTGATACTTAAAACTAATTTATTTTTAGCTAACCCTCTTTGAGGTAAAACTAACAATAATTTTACGAACTAATTGTTTTCTTTTTCGTTACAATATAATAGTCAATACTTTATAGATTGAAATAAATTTTATGCCAATAATACAACTGATTTTATTTCGCTCTGAAAAACCGACAAAGACATATTTGCCAATCCAAAATAATATTGAAATTCGAATGTTTTTAATAAATTGGTTACTTAATGGTGATGGAAACGACAAATAGCTGGTTCTTTGATAAAGAGAAGAGTATAGAACGAAGAAAGGACAAGCAAAGGAGGAAATGGCAACAAGAGAATTGCTAGAGGAAGAATGTAGTGATAAAAGGGTATAGCGAGAGGAAATTCTGAGTATTGTAAAATTATTTACAATAATTGTACAAAGCCAAAATAAATTGATATGGATAAATTTTAATCGTGTTATAACCAAAAAGTCTTTAATAATGTTAACAATTTGTAGAGTGCTTCCTATAATATTTGTCCAAACGGAGATGTTATTACCCGGCAGCCCGTTCCACATACCTACCTCCAACATATTAAATAGCATCCCCGCCGCCATCCTTGGATATTGTACATCGATCTATCGAGATATTTCTATATTAGCTGTGATAATAGTTGTGATAAGGTAGCAGGATGCTAATTGAGGAATTTGTAATACAATTTGTCAATAATACTGTAGCACTTTACATTAATATTTTTTTTTATGTTGATATATATTTCTAATAAATGAAAGATAATGTATACGAAAAGAAATAATTATAATGGTGGAGTAATAATTGATAAGTAGTAGGCCCGTGCGAAAAATTCGCACAGCATATTGTTATCAAAGATAAAGAAATCAAATGTTACTTTATCGATAAATATAATCGACAAAGAAAACAAAAATTAATTTAAATCTTCATTTTTGTTTGGAACCAACAAATTAAGATTAAATTATAACAAATAGGAGTTTCGGTTGAAACGCAGGCCGATAAGTCCGTTATCAGTCCTAAAAATTGGAATCTAAACATGCTTTAAATACTTAAATCATTAAATATGTATATATTTCCAACTACTTGATAAATAAGAGGAAAAATTAAATTCATTTTTTTTTCTGGGGATAAAACCATTTCCAGTAGAGAAAATACTTACCTATTCCGTGTTTTCCTTTTTTCTTTTTTTTAGGTGAGGGGGGGGAGGGGTGGGGCACATTATACCAGCGAGGCTTAACTCCCTCCAATCCTTGGCCCGAACAAACATGAGCATCCGCATTGGAGTGCAGTTAAATGGAAATTTAAATTAAATCGTTAGCTATTCATTTATTCCGGGCCCACATTTCAACGACTAGAAGCGGCGGGTATTGGACTCATTTGTAACCCACTAGTACCCCAGTCCACTGGCAGGGAGCAGCACTGGTAGCGGGTAATGGCGAACATAATCATGGAAGGAATTATGGTGCCGTTGGTGGACAAGGATCTTCCATTAGGCTTGCCTCGCAACAAGACATTCCACAACAAACTTATTCAATTGGTTTAGTCTGTTTAGCAGAATCCATTCGGTTTTTCAAAATTAGCAATTCGTAACTTCAATAAGGAATCAATGAAGTTTATAATCGCCCGTTAATGAAATTAATAAACTAATAATAATAAACTAGTGAAGCATTAGTAATCTCATTAGTAATTAGATTTAAAATAATATAAAGTTTGAGAATCAATAAAATTAAACCTTTATAAATTATACCGTTTAATAAGAAAACATAGATTTATTTTTATTATTTAGGACTTTACCATAAAACGATTAGTCCAGTCAATGAATGCTAAAAAATGGGAGAAACACAATTTTTGGCGTTAGGAACAAGGAGAAAAAATGGAACAGACCGTAAGTGTTATTGTGTATGATCTAAGATATTTCTAATCCTATTGATCTTCTCCTACGAAAAGAATACTTTCGGCATAAGATGAAGAGGGGAGGCCTGGTGGATCTACCGGCGAATCTTCGTGTGAGGATCAGTGAAGACCCTAATAGATGGAAGACCATTCTTCGGGAGAACACATTAAAGGAATGGAACCAGCGGTGGGTGACGACGCCAAAATGGGCTAAGCTAAGAAAATACTTCCCCACCGTTGGTTCAAGAATGGAACAGCAATGGGTTCTCCCGGACTACTGAGTCTCACAGTTCCTCACAGGGCATGGGGCTTTCCGAGCAAAGCTCGTTGAATATGGTAAGAACATTGAACCCCTATGCCCAAGCTGCAGAGTACCGGAGACCGCCGAGCATATCATCCTTGTCTGTACCGCCTTTGAGGCACTGAGGGCCAAGTTGTTGAGGGAGACGGGACTTTACGTTCTGGCGGAGAGCGATCTTCCTCAACTTATGACAAAGGAAAAATATCCGTATTACAAGGCATTCGTATACGGGTGGAAGGAACTGGTTGGGTCAACCCACTTTTCATTGGGAAGAAGAAATGAACCCGCATCCTGAAGACCGCCAGAGAGGGTGGAAGAGGATGCTGGCTAAAAAGAAAAAAAGAGCAGGCTGTGTGCACAGCTGTAAAAAATGTAATTGATCTGAATGCAGTGAATTTTAACGCATGTGTTGCTACTCACTACTGCATAACACCCGTATTGCCTTATCGGTAGGGTAGGGTTTAAATAAAATATAATCCTACTTTCCCTTGCTCTAGTTTTATGAAAAGGTGAGCAACAAAATATCTTGTGGGGTGGAGGGGTTGGTTTTGGCGCTATCGACCTTCGGGAGAAAACCACGCCCTATGTTCCTATTTTAAAAATTTTATTATATATTCAAAGATAATATATAAAAAGATTTTATGATTCATTTAGGTGAAGATTTCATCACACTTCCCACAACAAATTTGAAGCATCGAAGAATTGTGAGTTCATCTCACTATCTCAAACCTTAATAAATATGTTATATATCCAATAGCTTTGTTGAAATATTTTCAAATGTAACTAACTATACGTAAAAAAAAATATATATATACAAGCTTAGTTTTATATTATTAGTTTTACAATGATTATGTTGATTATTATAATTATCACTCATCATTTTCATACGTGATTTAAACTCCTGAGTCTTCTTTGGGATGGGAGAGAAATGAGTAGGAAGTTCCATCGTCCTTCTAACCAGAATGGAAAGTTTGCGCCTAAGTAGACACTGAGAATCCAGTAGAACTACTTTTAGAGTATATTTCTGACACCTGTATAAATATAATGATAAAATATATATGAAACAAATATTTTATGGATTAAAACATGTGCAATAGGTTCTCTGCTTTCTCTTAGAGCACTCAGTAAAATAGAAAAACACCTGTTGATAAATAAGGGACTGAAAAAGTGCATCCAACACGGTCATTTGGAATAGCATTCCAAGGCACTATTGAAATACTGATTGATCATGTAAGATTATGATTGAGGTATTAATGGACGTAACTGACGGATTTCCGCCATTGAGGCACTGAGGGCCAAATTGTTGAGGGAGACTGCACTTTACGTTTTGACGGAAAGTGAGCGATTTTACTCAACTAATGACAAAGGAGAACTACCCGTACTACAAGGCCTTCTTATACGGGTGGAAGGAACTCGCTGATTCAACCCAATTTTCATTGGGAAGAAGAGATGTCCATGCTTCTGGAAGTCCGCCTGAGAGGGTGGAAGAAGACGTCGGCTGAAATAAGAACAGGCTGTGTGCATAGCTAGAAAAATAAAAAAATGTAATTGGTTTGAAAGCAGCAGCGGATTCAGGATTTAATTTTGGGGGGGCTTCAGTCCGGAAGGTTTTTTTTTTTCATCATATATATAACGATAATTACTTTAGAAAAACAGAAAGATACTAACTACCTAAATGAAACGGTGTTTAAGTTATTCTTGAAGTCCTATTAAATGTAATTAAACGAGCAATAATACTTTAAGACATAATTTTTTAATATCTTATTCCATAAAACATGTTTACATTTTACCATTTTGGGAGGGGCTTCAGCCCGAAAGCTCTCCTCCCTCCCCATAAATCCGCCTGTGTCTGAATGCAGCAGTGAGTTGTAACGGATACATTGATACTTACTGCTGCATAACACCCCTTAATGAATAAGCGGTAGAATAGGGTTTAAATAAATAACCTTTTTTTTAATAGTCATTTGGGCAATAAATTAACAAAAGAAGTGGCAAATTCACAATTTTTTTCTAGAATCTTTAAATTTTGTGTATATTTGTCAGTTATTTTTCTATTTTTCTTAACAAATTAATTTTTTTTTCCTATACTTTTCCTTCATTTTTGTAAGTTCTTGACATACATTTTTCTAAATTTTGTCAAAACAATTTTAATGCAATAAGAAATAATTACTATATCTGCATTTCTCTCTTTATGTATAATGGCATAAAGGATAATGGCAAAATATTCTTTTTTAATAAAACAAATCATTATTAATGACAACGGAAACTAAAATGGCGGCAGTCTGATTGATACCTTTAAGGTTCATCATGCTTGAAGCAATCCTTGTCAGTCATTTGACTGCCATTCATGACTGATGGTGTAGGGTCCGCAATAAGGAAACTGGTCAAAATAACTCGACTACTTTCGATGTAAAATCTGTTAAGAAAAGGTTAGATATATCGATATAGTTGATAAATCGATCAGTGTAATTTAAAGAGAAAAAGAAAGTGTACTTATGTCAAACTTTGAATTCAATTTTCTCAGATCTGTAAAGTTCTACTAATAATATTCATTACCTCGATCGTTTGAAGAAGTAAATAATACCTCTCCGATTATAGAAGTGAAATCTGTAATCCATGAACCTCTTGTTTATTTTATTTTATTTTTTACTTTGTATTATTCTGTGTGCACAGTTAGGCATATACTGTTTTTTCCTGTTTCCGTGAGGATATATATTTTTTTTTTTTAGGATGGTGCTTCAGTTCGGAATACGTTATAACGGTATTTTTTCGGAATGGAATGAAAAAAAAAAAATTAAACAGCATGGAGTGGAATCGATAAAGCAAACATCGAGCAGCGGATTAATCACTTACGGGTTGGCGCAAACATGAGTGCCTCTTATGTTAACGGCAGGAACAAAATTCATATCACAGCCTACCAATATTTGTATACACTTGATATAAATGTATTAGTGAAGTTATTATTTCATCAAATATCGTATTATTTATTTTTTATTAAAACGCTTTGTAAACAGAACCGAACTTTGAAAGTCTGTTTTTTTTTTTTATAAAGGTTTGTAGAAATTGATACTTACTGGAGTCACAAACACAGTTAGTTCATTTTCTAGTCACATCCTTCGGGTTTGGTGCCATTTTCTCATAATTTATCATATGCCTATTTTAGGCCATAGGTCACCAAAAAAATACAGTTTTTTTTTTTTATTTCCTGTATGTTTTATTCAACGTTTCGTCTTCAGGAGCCATTTTCAAGAACCTGCAAAACTAATTTTAATTTATTTTTTACCATTCAAGTACAGCCTCAGACAATAAACTTGTATCATCCACCTATCATGCACCGCGCCATAAAATCTTTAAAATTTATCATTACGATATGATTCGTCCTAATTCATTCTT